TGATATTAAAGCCGCGCAAATAAATGAGTTCAACGCAGCCGTACTTCACGAGCGACAACTGGTCGTCGGCGCAGCACTTTGTGAACCCCTCCAAACGTTTGGTGAAATTTACCACATCTATAGCCCGGCTGTTGTGTTGCTGTGCTTTATATAATTGTTGATATATATGTCTATTTTGACCATGGTCATTTTGAGACATTATACTATCGCTGGGTATAACGTAATTGAAAACACTGGACGCGTTCAACAAGTCGTCGATACGCCGGCTCTCCAACTGATTGATACCCTCGTAATCCGTGATAACCCTAACCATAGGTAGTGTCGAGTATTTGCCGATACGTTGTTTAATACCATTGATTAAGTCGTTACTATCGGACAGACTCTCGATGTCCATCACCTGTTGGAACAGCTCATCGTCGGTGATGTTCAACGGATCGCGAATTAAATTATCAATTTCTTGACATTCATTCTCGTTGTCCACCACTTCTACCACCTCTTCGGCCATCACTTGTTCCTGGGATTCATCACTGGATCCGCCGCTCATTGGCGTTGAATTCCCGGCATTTGTGTTCAGTTTTTGTCTTTTATTTTTTCGCTTTTCATTTTCGGCTAAACTTCTCATTAATTCCTACGAAAAAAAAAATTATTTCGTTATAAATATATAAAACAATTTAAAAATTATTTCAAATACAGTCTTCATTCCCGATGAGAAACACTTTTTGAGTCGACATTTGGGGCAAACTCTCCTATTGTTAACGTTTACAACGCATTTCCCGCCGGAGAAACAGTTTAACATCTATTCAACAAAATATGCGATTAATTAAAAATAGTTAATTAATTTGTAATAATAATTATTATTAAACTTCTCACTATATTTTTGAAGGCATTCCTACGAAAAAACGCTTTACAACTCTCACAAGTAATGGCACCGAAATTTCGACCTTAATTATAGGTTTAATTATATTTAAAATAAATATTATTTAGTTTTAATTGTAATGTAATTAAAAGTATTACCGATTTGTTTACTATCGCCGCAAACACAACATGTAGTGGTCATTGTATTGACGCCAATGATTACAATTACTATATATTTCAATAAATAAGTGGCTTGATAAAAATATAATATTAAATGATCATCATGGTAAAATGTCATAAAATTATCTAGCTGAAATAACTGGTTAGCAAATTAGAAGTTTATAGTATTTGCAATACAGTCAAAAGGTTAATGTTTATTATGATATTGGTTATTGTGTGATACACAAATTACGCTTGATAACTTTTATTCTATCATTGTAACAACACATTACACTGTAATGATTACAGTTAAATAATAATTCTTAATAGACCTTGATAATTAATAGTTTTGAAATTTCAATTAAAATTAGTAATATAATATAGTATTAGGCTAACAAATTACAATTTATTTATTTTGTTAGATAAAAAATATTAATCAATGGATTTATTTGACATGGTTACAAAATTAATACTTTAATTAATGAATATGATATTTTTAATTCTTATACATTAATTAAAATGTTTTACAATTCATGAATCTCTCGGCAAAGTTGTCCCGAAATATGTGTCAATTCATTGCAGTCTTGAGTTGTTTCACACATTTTGTTGTGTTTATGCAAATCAGTGGCTATTCTCAGGTCTGTTAAGCCTGTCATTAGTGATTGAAGTTTTGTTTCCCATTCCGAGCGGTATTTCAATAGTAGATATCTTTGCAGTAAATATATATACAGTTGTTGTTCGAGTCTAACAAACAAAACAATTAAAATTTAATAAATAATAAAATAAATTAGAAATTGAACAAAATTTTTTTTATCGTTTACTTACTTAATACTGATTTTATGTGTCAAACACTTGCGTTTGGGGTTAAATAGGACTATCGCAGCCAACTATGCAAATAATTCACAAATTAACTTTAACCCTTAAAGCTTAAACTATAATTATGAACGTTGTAAATAAACTGGGAAACTAATCTCCCAGCAGTTAGTGCATAAACTGGGAGACTAGTCTCCCACGCTTTAGTGTGTTTTATGCTGGGAGATTATTCTCCCAGTTTATGCAGTTTACTGCTGGGAGATAAATCTCCCAGTTTATGCAGTAGACGCAGAAAAAGATTAGCACTATTTATACTGCAGGAA